TAATACGACACTACTTGTCCAGGAGCTGACCGTGTCTCTGTGTACAAAATCTACTACAAAGTAATACGACACTACTTGTCCAGGAGCTGACCGTGTCTCTGTGTACAAAATCTACTACAAAGTAATACGACACTACTTGTCCAGGAGCTGACCGTGTCTCTGTGTACAAGATCTACTACAAAGTAATACCCCACTACAAAGTTTGAATAACCCCGTGGCGTTTTTGGGGTTGATTCTTTGGACGTCCTGTTCAACATTGAGTGTCAACTTTTCGATAGTTCGTGGCATGCTTTGCCGTCCTGAAACAAGAATGGGCATACATGGTAACGTATTGCACACATACACGCACATATACACACACACACACATACACGCACATACACACACACACACACACATACCAGAGTGGACCGATCACACCCCTGTAGCTGAATGTCTAAGAAGGGACATTTTGCGTTTGACCTAAATTTGGTTGAAATTTTAAAAATTAATTGATATTTCACGGTGGCGTTAATGGATTTTATTCATGTGTACAGACTTGATGTCCCTCTAGTTGAATTTTATTTACTAAACGTTTTGTTAAAATCAGTGCTCCAATTACCGCACCGGGCTGTTGCCCTTTAAGTGGGTTCTTTTTTTAAACACCTGCTTATACACTTACACACACACTGGCACACACATACATATTGGGCACATACCTACATAATATGTAAACGCATTTGCCCACAAATTTACATACACACATACACATATTATCTACATGCATACATAACACGCACTCACTCACACACTTATCTAACTATTTATCTAATCAACCGAATTCGACTAAACTGGACAACTTTCAAAATCAGATGGCGAGCCAAATATATGTCGTATTGTGCCCAAAATGGTATCTTTTGCCCCATCCATGAAGGCTGATTTGATAAGCCTTGACTCAGACTGATGAATTGGATCAGTGGTGTAGTGTGCACTAGACATAATACACAAATCAGTGGTGTAGTGTGCACTAGACATAATACACAGATCAGTATTGTAGTGTGCACCAGACATAACACACAGATCAGTGGTGTAGTGTGCACCAGACATAACACACAGATCAGTGATGTAGTGTGCACCAGACATAACACACAGATCAGTGGTGTAGTGTGCACCAGACATAACACACAGATCAGTGGTGTAGTGTGCACCAGACATAACAAACGTCCATCCCACTGACGCGATGATAACAATGACTCTGCTGTACCATGGCACGTTTTGATAACATCGTTCTTTGTACATGTTTACCACCCGTACAGTCGTAAAGTCTATTGTTGTTCATTATCATTGATGGTGTAGTTTTTATAGATAGGACAGACCCTCGTGTCACACAGCAGTCGTTTGAAAGTGACGTAAACACGGGATGTGTAGCTGCTGTGTCGGGATGGAAGATTACACACCACCATATAGTTAGGTCCTATAGGTTTAACACCAATAGCAACACTGTAAAGGCTGTAAGGTTGTTTTCTACGCGGTACCTCCGAATCTAAAGCCCATCTCCGATAGGAACAAAGGCACGAGCTAAATGAGAACTGTGGTGTAAAGGACACCTTGGCCCAGGACACGTCGGGCCGGACTGAACCATGAACCCTTCACCCGGCAGTCTCACGACATCAGGTTCAGTAACCGAACCACTAACTACTAGACCACCGACACCACAACCTCACTAGTCCGATACCCTAACCACTAGACCACCGACACCACAACTTCACTAGTCCGGTACCCTAACCACTAGACCACCGACACCACAATCTCACGAGTCCGGTACCCTAACCACTAGACCACCGATTTTTTCATTGAACATAGTACATGTATTGTCACAAAATGTCGGACCCTCACCAGTCAGATTGTCATGTAAAGAACAGAACTGGGTAATATAATCCTTTGAACTCGGAGACTAGGCCTAGTCCAGTGAAGATGGACCAAAGTGTCTCCTCTACTGATGCATTGGTCACCGTCAAACTTTGACAAACGAAATCTTCTTCTTCTTCTTCTTCTTCTTCTTCTTCTTCTTCTTCTTCTTCTTCTTCTTCTTCTTCTTCTTCTTCTTCTTCTTCTTCTTCTTCTTCTTC